CATGGGTCTTTGTGTTCTTCCTCTGACTAACCAGATAAATCTCTCTGCTTTCCACAGAACCAGATCTGGTCAGGGTGTCACAACACGTCTGAGGGAAAATATGGATTTTTTATTTTTATTTTCTATTTTTATTTATTTATTTATTTATTTATTTATTTATTTATTTATTTATTTATTTAGTGCACTATCGTAATTTCAATCCTTGCAAGTTAATTAAGCAAAGCTGGTTAAACAGTTAGCCAACTTTACTTACCATGCAAAACTGTTTTGTCTGGAGTGATCCTTTAGGAGGTTTCATAGTATGCAGTTGCAATTAACATATTCTCCACCTAGAATGCATCAATCTAAGTCCACTTTGGCTGCCAATTCAATCCCACTGAACTCTCATAATTATTTTTGAATAGTAGTTTTTGTTTTTTTTTTCCTTTGAGGAAGTTAGCCCTCTGTTTCTAATGCTGAAGAAGCAAAACGATAATATGTCATTTTGAAATGCCCAGTGCAACTTGTGATCACCGATTAAACAAACTGTTCATATTTAACCAATAAAGTCAGAGTAGAAATTTGCATACATTTAATTTGTGTATATTCTAATCAATATTAGTGTAAATTATGTACTTTTATCAGGCGCAATGCACTTACTCTCACTTACTCATCTATCTATATTTTATCAATCAAATCCACTGTTTATTAAAACACGTATTTAGCAAATTAACTTAGAAAAGCAAATACATGAAAAAATAAATAATTAAAGACCCTTCAGCTCACAACACAATACACCAGAAAATTCAGGCATATAATACAACTGAACCAGAAATAAAGTCCTTAAATCTATTCCAACATTGCATCGTATGAATAATGACAATCACTGCTAAGATGTGCCATTCTTTGGCATCAACAGTTTCGGAATTAGGGAGTATGCTTGATTTTAGCCTTTTCATGGGACTCCTAACATCTGGAGACAGACTTTTAAAATCTATTCTGGTTAGTTGGCTTGTAAAACTTTGTAAGACTCAAGGTGTGTACTTTATTGGCAGCTGCCTCAGGATTACAACAGTTTAAGGTTATCTTTAGTGGCATCTGTTGCTAAGCTAAATCTTCTTGCAACAACAGAAACTTTCTAAGGTTTATTATGGTATCTCCTAATGTGATTCATCACACTCTTGATATTATTTTATCTAACACTGGGCACAGTATCTTAGAATAGCCAATGACTG